AAAGACTGAAAAAGAGAACATCGCTCCACTTACTCTAGAAGGTAGAACTCGAGAAGGTATCTCGGATGTCTGACCGCTCTGTGAGAGAGTTACACGACACGGCCAGCAGGTTATTGTCCGCCCAGACTCCAGGTGCACTCCATAAAAATGCTAAACTTTCGAAGGTCCTCGCTGCCTCCCTTGAAATTCTCGCCGCTGCAGGCGGGCGCTCTGGAAACGTCAAGAGTGCCACGAGAGAGGACGTTCTGACAACTCACAAAAATCGTTTTCGTGAGTGTGTTTCATGACGTAGTGGAGCGACGACGGATTCTTGCCATTTTCTTGAGTAGATACTGACAGCTCAAGAACCCGAATTCCAGACCTAGCGTCTAGAGTTAGTGGAGTGGTGCAAAGCTCAAGAAATGGCTGGTTTCTAGAGTAGTGGAGCGAGACCCAAAGTCTCCAGTTCCTGAGTTCACTACGCAACACCCTAACAGCAGTAGAAGACAACAATTTGTCCGTCCAGACTTGAGGTTCACCATACAAAAACACAGGGGGTCTGTGGTTTCCTTTGAGGAGTATCCGAGTAACGACTTTTGCAGGCTGGGAACTATACACCGACGGAGAGTGCAATCTCCGACCGATATCTGACAGCTATCCAAGCTATTTGGCACGTGTATAGTGAACAGTAAGTGGAGTGATGCTGAACTCTTCAAATGCGAAGAGCGTATAGTAGTGCAGCGAGACCCATTTCCACACATCTTTGGGCGTCGCCGCACCGCACACGAAACGAGAAACGAAAAAGGAATGTATACTCCCCCAGAAAATGGCCAGCTTCATCCGTTTGCTATAAATAGCTAGGTTACCGGGCCGGACGTCCGGGACCCCCCTGACCGTCCGGGATGTCGGACCGGACGTCTGGTCGGACGTCGGACCGGACAGGACATGTTTTTTTTTTAAAACAAAAAACATTTGTTTTTTTTTTGAAAAAAATCATGTGGCTTCCACCTTGCATTAGGTGTATGCCACCAAATTTTTGGATCATTTGGGCCAGTAGAATAAATAATAAAAATCTTTAAAGATTCATTCCCCATCTA